AATTGGACGGTATTATACTGAATACCCAGTGAGCTATGGGCAAAAAGTAGAAAACAGGACTGGTCTGAGATGGTGAGAATTATTTACAAATTACCACATTTGGATATTTCTGCATCCATATACCAATTCATCTATTCTTATGCAGCTGACTACATTGACTGTAGTATGTATCCTCTTGTAAATTGCGCTCGGAAACACTATCCACACTGTCTGAAGAGCAAAGGCAGAATGCAGATGTGGGTATATTCTTTGGTAGTAGAATATTTCGTGAACTCATAACATTCAGCTCGATCCATTCAAAATGTCCTTCAAAGTCATATAAAACATCCGATCAAATCTCCTCAAGCGAGTAAAATCAAGACATCTAGGCACTAGCCATCTGAAAGTTCAAGCCCATGCTATTTATCCAAAAGAAATACGTCCAACCATTATCTCCAATATGAACATCATTAAGATTCTATTCTCTTAATAGTGCTTATCCTATTACACCTTTCTTATCTAAACCTCCTGTTTATTTCTGTCATTTTTGCGTTTTTTTTTTAAACCCCAATTAACACTGCAACATTTTTTTCTACACTACCTTTCTATTTTGTTATTACCACGTTTTTAATCCTTAATTGTAATCTTGGTAATTTGAGCCTTGAAATACTTCCGTAAATTTCTCACCCATTCACTGCGAATCCACGAATGTACATCTATCTGTTTGGTGACATTTTTGAAACGAAAATTTCTTCACTGCAACCATCTTTTTAATATTCACTTTATTAGACAAAAATAGATCATGTGTATACATTACAAGCAGTTGGAAATTTAAGCCAGATAAATAAAGAAATTGTTTGGTTGCATAAGATTAGACACTTAGTTATCCAACCACATTATAATAAATCTCGTGTCACAGCCATGTAACTTAAGTCTGTTTTACCTTGTAAAATGTAACTATATTAAGATGAGAGAAAATTGGGCAGTGTATGGTACACACTAATATACACTGTAAGAGTTTACATCCACCACCGTATGCTGAGACAAGATAATAACAACGTGTTTGATTCTCTTGACGATATGTTGACTACTACTATTCTCTTGGATTCCGAGTGGAACGCAGGGCTTCAAAAGGACACCTCTATTTCACCTTGTCCTGTGCAGTCCTCTTCATCTGGTTCCCATAGTCTCTCATCGCCTCATCGTACTATCTCTTCCATGTTACCCTTGAATACACGCCCAACTTGCCGTCTAGCATTCGGTTTCCAGTCGAGGGGCTGGCATACGATTTTATTCAATGGTCCCCTCAGCGTGTGTCAGGTCCATTTCCATTTTCTTCGACCTACTTGTTGGGCAATAGGTTCTTGAGAGATCTATTTCCAGATTTCCTTGTTTCTAATCCTTTTTGGCTAGCCATGTTATTTTCAGTATGGGCCAGTGAAGTGGGCAGCTGTCGATGAAAGTCTTAAGTAGACTGTTGGAAACGCTCTTCGTGACACACTGGCAGAGTCTGTGACCCAAATAGAAGAAATGACTGACCGAACATTCGAAGCTGATTCTTCAAGATGACTACAGAAGATTTCTAGACTGATATCAGAATGATGAAGATCTGTTTTGCATTCCTGCTCCTTATTGTAACATCTACATCCGTCCTGTCACCTGTGATTGAAACAATGGTATCTGGATAAGTGAAGAAAGTGACCACTTTCAAATTTATTCTGTTGACAGTGATCGGATCTTGTTGTTGATGGTTGGTTGGTTAGTCGTCTTCATCGTCTCTATCTTCGCTATGTTCACTTGAAGTCCTGTCTTTTCTTCCAGCTTCTTCAACTGGTTTTGTTTTGTTTTTCGCCTGTAAGTCTTCTAAGTAAGACTGAAATTAGACACAACTAATTGGAGAGGAGGTCATCTGAAGAGGAAATGACAGTTTGTGGGCAGTTGTGGAACCAGCTAAAAAATATGACTGAGAATAGAGTGAAGTGGCGATGGACTGCTGAAGCCCTATATTCCACTCAAAACCCAAAGGACGAATAATGATAATAAAAACAAGAAGAAAATATTGCGATGAACAACTATTTTCTCCTTATCACTCAGCGTTCAGTATGAGAACACGCATAAAATATCTTCTCTGAAAACCTAGTCCAAAACAAAAAAATCTAATCTGCTCAAAACTATGTTCCACTGATTGGCTGAGGTGAGTATTTGTATACCACTGAAATCAACCAGCAGTGCTTACTAGCCAGATCCATGCGATCTAAAGACGGGACAACCGTTTTGGTCTTTTGTAGCCAGTAGTTTCGACTCATCTCAGGGAACCGAGTAAGTTGAAACTACTTTATTTCTGGCTAGCTAATTGAGATAAATGGTCATCCGAATGTACCTGCATTCCCTAGTCACTGAGTGATGATGTTCTCACCGAGACTCGAACCCAGTGACCATAGTTTCAAACGCCAAAGCGTTATCCACTAGACCATTTACATGTATCCACGATATAGCTTACATTCGGAGAATAGAAAGAAGGGCATATCTTCAATTTCCTGAACATGTAACAAATAGCCTGCTTCTCAGGGGAATAAACATTTATAACGGTGTCGTTGCAAGAAATCTCTTCAATACGGGTTATGAGGTGGAAATCACGAAATCCTTTAAAATTATCAATAGACAAAATAGTTCAATTCTTATCAAGTTTTCCGGAGCGATCTCTAGCATGCATCTGAAACCGGATTTATGTGTACTCAGAAAGAAGTGGTTATCAACTTCTCCTTGTCTTGACAACTTTTTCATTTCATTACGTAATCCTTGGCTTTTACCTCTCCTCCTTTTGATAGAGTGTAACTTGGTTTTTCCCTTATTTCTATGATTGACTTGAACTCAGCACACTGTTATTCAATTTGCGAGCTACTCACCATCTTATTCACACCTTGTGTTTATCACATTACCCTCCCACCACAGTATCAAAGCAGCTATTTTTGCTAAGACTTGCTGAAGTATAAGGTATATAAGTGTAACTTACGAGCACAGTTTGTTAAGTTTAGAGTCTCCTGTCACTAACTGACATTATATTATATTTGCAAGTTGTTATGTACATAAACTTAATCATTTCTTTAGTCTGTCAATGATGAGAAGTCGATGAAATAAATGAGAGTAGTATCTTATTCTGCATAAGCTGTTGTCCTTCTTTTATTCAAATTTTGAATTATGTTATCAAGTAATTAAATGAACTGAATGGCCATCAAATAAAACGTAATAGTTTACACAAAAATATATCCTACGGAAATTCAGTAATATTTACCTCTTTTCGGTAAGGAAGATCTGAATCCATCCATGGCTTCTAAGTTGTTTCTACAAACTTAAAACAAAATGAAAGTAGCCATGTAAAGTGTGTTACTCTCAGGATTATAAGTAGTATATAAATACAAATATAAAATGTTTGTCATCTGAAAGGACATCGAATAACAGAGATATGCATGGAATCAGTGGTGAATATAAGTATAAAACTTGGGCACTGTGGTAGAGTATAACTCCCTTATGGATAAGATTTTATTTTGATAAATCACACAGTGTTGTTATACAGTAATATTTACTGATGACGTTTCGTGCACAAACTTTTGCTCATAATCATATCAAGTCACTCACACTTCATATATATATATATATATATATATATATATATATATATATATATATATATATATATATATATATTGGTTGGACCGACAGGGTCCTTCAACCTACAGAGCTTGTCCTACATGAGTGAGTTTGTAGGTTTAAATACCACTCTCATTCCTGCTTTATTAAGAATGCTACTAAGTAGGGTCTCAGATGTTCCCTGCTTATATGGTATAACATTAGATGACTTATATTCTCTCCTATTTATGTTATCATTACTAGTTTCACAATTATTTTTATCCATAATGGAATCAATATTGATGCGAAGAAATGAGCGATGCTTGTGAAGAGATAAGGAAAACGTGGAAGGAAGACAAATAAGCACAACACAGAAGGCATGTGCAAATTATGATTCTAACATTTTGGTAGACGTATCTGGCATATATCGATACACCGAGTTCGCTATGAATACGTTTGTTACCAGGCCAGGCCCTCGAATGGAATGCGAATGGGGAACAACGCGTTGGTCTTATGCCCTCGGATGACATGGAGGCGATTATGTGAGGAGAAGATGAGAGCCTATGGGGAGTCGCCACGTCAGCTGAAGAGGACTGCAGAGAACAGGGTCAAAATGGCTTTGTTCTGTTGAAGCCGTATGTTCAACTCGGAACCCAAAGGAACAATAATAGTAATATACTCTTGTGTTCTGTCGCTACAGCACTTTACAGTTGGTTGGCGAATGGACAGTTATATCTTTGTCAGTTTATTTCATCGATGGCTTATAAAGGAAAGACATCAACTGTTATAGCTACGGTTATACCCGAATACCGACTGTCCACCGTTAGAGTTCTACAATGCTCCATCGATCTTCCTAACTACTTAATTAGTTAGAAAACACATGCACACAATGATACGCGTATGAAAGTGTATTTACACAAAAGAGCTGGGAGTAAATAGTAACAAGACTGAGAATGCATAAGCTGGCTAATTCTGACCAGCGGTATTAGAATTCTAAGAAAGCATAAAATCGATCGCTTGCCTGTAAGTCCAGTTAGTAATCAATGTTAAAAAAGAGTAAACTCCAACTAACAAAATTTCAAGGTAGTTGACAGACAAACGAAGAAGAACAGTAACTCACTGTTGACACTGGCAGGTGGTTGTGCTATATATGGGCCACTGGATTAGACCCTAGTGGGTGCACACTGATGAAAAGTCCCAAATGAGAAGAAAATAGTTATCCAGTATCCCCCTTGGTTTTCCAATCGTCCTCTAACTGACATCATCTCGGAATCAAACCAAAAAAGGAAGGTATGCGTTTAACTTGGTTTAAGTACTGTCCGTTTCACATTCTACTACCATGGTGAAGTATGTCTAAAACGTATCTCATCTGAAATTTATTCTTTATATTTAAGGCTGGAGCAGTAGCATCAATGCCTGAGATTCGACAAGCATCTCAAGTAGCTCGCGAGGTTCTATTCAGTACAAAGCATACACTGTTAGTAGGACAATCTGCAGCAGAGTTTGCAAAGTCAAGAGGCTATCAACCAGCCCCCTTGGATACTCCTAAATCTCATGATTTGTGGGTAGAATGGAAAAAACATAATTGTCAGCCGAATTTCCGCAAGCCGGAGGCTTGGATTCCAGACTCTACAAAATCTTGTGGACCGTATCATCCAAAACAACTAAGTAAGTCGACATATGTAAAAATTATATTTGTAAAGTCTTGGCGAAATTGGAATAAGGAATTCTAACATTTTACTCGGTAAAATGTTCCACACTTCTTCAGGGAAATCAATCTAAATTACAATAACATATATATATAAAAGAAATACGTCCAACCATTGTCTCTACCATGACCATCATAAACAGTTATTTTCTTCAGTAATGATCATCCTATTACACCTTCCTTATCTAAATTTCTTGTTTATCGCTAGACAAAGCAATAAGAATACGTAATTTGTCTGAAATTGCGCAGCACATTTCGAACAGTCACACATGAACTTGTCATTGGAATATATATATGAAATTATTAAAGAGTAAAGAGGTGAAAAAATATACTTAAGTCAAGTTGAAGAACGTATTGAAAGTCAAAATAACAATGATGATCACTAAATCGAATAGAAGAGGTAATTGTGTAACGGCAGAAGATAAGGGCCAAGCAACTTATCATTTATCGAGAGAATCAACAGATATTTATAGATTTTTATGTGCATTATTATTACCATTATTGTTAGCAGAGAAGTAACGTCTTCTGATTGGTTATATTCTTGCTGAAGGTTATTCTGCCCTGCTTGTGACCATTTCTTAGAAAGTCAGGCCATATATCCGCGAATCGTATTTGCACCCATTAAGTCTGCTATCATTGATTGTTGGGTTCCTCAAGATTAAGCTTTGTTGCTGTTTTTTCCTCATGACACTGAGTCGGGACGTAAACATTGACGTCAAATGTTGTCTGCAATTTTCACTTGCAGACAGCTATCACCACAATAGTACATATACCCTGACTGGCATCAAAACAAAGTTTACCGAGAAAGATTTAGCCTAATGACGAATTGTTGCTTTGATGGTTGGTTGGTAATTGGTTGGTATAATTGAGAAGCTTTCTCTCTTAGTCTTTCACATTTGTCTTCGTAGGGGTAGTAGAATTTTCCAGATGTCCAACTGGACAGGTGCTGAATCATTCCTATTACACGTATTTGCAGTTGACTCGATAAACAAAGCCTCAGTTATCAATCTCTCCCTCCACCGTGTTGTTATATTAAATTTTAAAACTGTCATCTTATCCCATCCATCCTATTGTATGGTTGTGTGTAATTGCATGTATTGAGTGCTATAGCTGAACTATTCTCTATATATCTTATATATTATTCGGGTCAGCTAATCTAGATTTCAGAAGTTGATTGGTGGATGATAACTAGCACTAGAATCCGTAATGTGCATTTCGTCGTATTCGGGGCTCGTCATCTGGTTTTTACGCTCCGTTAGTCTGACTGCACCTGTTCTACTACTTTTCCCTATGTATTTGACCTTACAATCATTGCAGGCAGGGTATTAGATAAACTAAATTGTTTTTGTTTTAAAAGCTCCATTGGCAGGATCCTTCAACCGACAAAGCTTGTTTCTATTTGAGTTTGTGGGTGGTTTGAATGCAGCCACTTTTATCTGTGACTGCCTTGTTAAGAATTCTGCGTAAGGTTTCCAAGGTGACTCAAGTATTACACATATATTAATAAAACTGTTATTAACTAGTTTATTTCTCAGATAATATCAGTGTTTGTACTGAAAATCTCAGGGATAGTTATCTCATGTACTGGGTCACGTTGTTGTCCACCATTATACTTTCTCTCAAGTTTAATAGAAACTTGCAATTCAATAAGTTGTCGATAGTTTAAATACATTATTACAGTACTATTGCTTTGCACATTATTGTCATTAAAAGATCAGTTTTTCTTTTCTAACATGACTTCTTTCGAATATTATTTTCGTGATCCCAGAAGATATCAATTCGCTCAACCTAAATGATCATACATCCAATAAATTAGATATCGATAATCATGATACAATCGGTGTGATTGCACTTGATGCCTATGGATCAATGGCTGTTGGTACATCGACAAGTGGATCAAAGTTTAAAATTCCTGGACGTGTTGGAGACTCACCTATTCCTGGAGCTGGTGGTTATGTTGTTAATAATGTATGAATTATATTCATTGTATTTGGTATGATTGAATTCAAGGTTATATGCTTTCAATCGTTTAAATATTGTGTTTATTAAAATGTATTTAAGATCCTTAATTATCAAAGCTGCATAATTAATTTTGCTAATTCCAAGTCTTAGATTTTTGAGCTTTGATGAAAGGCAGCCAACCTGACTTTAATAAAATTGGTAGAAGTTGGAATTTATGGAATGGACACTGGATCGGGTCCCAGTGGCTTAATGGTCTATGAGCTCGCCTTGTAGCCAGAAGGTCCTGGGTTAATACCCAACAGGTGAGTGCGTACTAATGAAGAGCCCCGAACTAGTCCGATTAAACCGCTGTCCAATACGCCCTGGTTTTCAATGGTTCTGTAATTGAATTCAATATGTGAACAAACTTGTGTAAACAAATTTACTCCTTACAAACCAAACCCTTGAAAATTTAAGTCAATAAATATTGGAATCCGAGTAGAAATCTCCAAAGAATTGTGACTAAGTGTACCATGAATGTGAATTTTAAATTTGACGGGGAACTCTATTAACAGGCGCGTGGAGTGGCAATGGACTGTTCATTGAAAGAACGTTTAATTCCGGTAAGCTGTAGCTCATATTTTCCATACAATCGGTTATGATTCCAAAACTGAAAGATGACAAGTACTTAGGCTAACCACCTCTAATTCGCTCTATCGACTCAGCCTCTTTTGTGAGGCACTTTATAGTGGTAATTGCTCTAGGAGCCTAATTTCTCATGCTCCGGAATACCTACGAGTGTGCTAAATAAAGGTGACATTAGAACCATCAACAGTTCGAAATTTGATCACCTTGGTCAAACAGGCCACAAAGCTAGCTAGCTAGCATTCGAGAATCTTTCTCTATCATCTGTAGGGTAACGAATAATTTACCAGAGGGCACTAGATACTGAACACTGCAAACAGAAGATGATATTGCAGTTCACTTAAATCAACCGGAACTCTGTGTGCAAAAGGAAACAGGTAGAACCAGCCACTGTTGCCACCATGACCTGTTGTTGAACCTAAAAATTCATAAATTCTGTATCACTTCCCATAAATTATTTGATATCCAGTCAGTCTAGTGTTATATGTGATGCATATTATCTATCTCTTGTTGGTGTTTTTGAAATGTAATCTGTAGATACTACTGATTTAATGTAATTCAAAACATCAATGCTATTAATAACAGTATTTCTGTAGTTATTACTATCATACACATGCAGAACCTAGTGATGAATTTATCGAAAAGAATATTCTTTATATATGTCCAAACCAAGTTCACTTCTAACAGTGTGAACAAATTTGGGCATTGAGTATATGGTATTCATTATAATCAAGGTTATTTTGTATTTCCCAGTGAATGAATGTAAAACAAAACGATATTGCTGTTGTTTTTACTGACATTTCGCTATTTAATGTTGCTGCTAATAGCTTTATCAAAGCAGTAATATTAAACCAGAATTTACAAAATCTCAGCTTATATATAACAACTTAATCATCGTTCCTCAGTAGGGGTCATTTTTACTGTCAAATCGGCAAATTCGTAAAGATAACAAAACCAGGTGTAGATTGCTGGATTTGATAAGTGTGTAAAATTATAAAAGTAGCGTGTGTTTACTTAATGAAATTGATTATCACATTCGTGTTGATTTTGTCACTTCATGGGGTGGTGGTGTGGTGTTGGGACCCTGTCCACTTCTTTTATAGTCCATCATTCCTATTCAGACAATTTGGATTCCACTTGATATGAGGTGCTGGCTTCTGATATTAGACATTCTTTGTCATTTCTGAAAGTTTTCTGGATGATGATTTCAGTATTGTCAAAATCAATTTTGTGGCCTGATTCTTGTGGCTGATGATTTTTCAAGTTTTTCTAGTTCAAATGGATTTCTTGATGGTTGAATATATACTCTACAGTGTTCATTTCTTCTGCTTTCGACTTCTCGAGATGGTTGCGGATGTATATTGCATCACATTCTAAGCGTTTTATTTTGTAGACACATTTGGATTGATAATCCTTAGGGATTTGGTCTTTTACGTGGACAAAGTTTCTTTTTAGTTTGTCTGATGTTTTGAAGAAAACCCTGATATTGGGCTTATCAAGTGCTCTTCTTACATCGTATGACGTATGTGATCTATGTGGAATGACAACTGTTGGGGCCCATGCCTTCGAAATACGTTTCCAACCATATTTAATGTCAGTGTTGACTTTGCTGATGAAGTTCTTTGGGTAGTTGTTTTGCTTGAGAATTGCAGTAATGTTTGATATTTCTTCTTCTTTTTCCTTCTCATCCGTTATCAAAGAGTGTGCTCGTCTAAGATGACTTGAAACAACTGATACTTTTGCGCCGATGGGATGTGATGATCCTTCTTTGTTCCTTAATCAGTTTATTTTAAAATTCGGGTTGGAACTCAAATATCGATCTAGGGTGTAACTCCGTATATGAAAAATTCATTTGGTGAAACCTACAGTAATACAGTGTTTTTCATTATAATATATGCACATAAACACAGTCACACAAACCTCTGACTTAGTTTGTATAACTCCCATTTTTCCTAACTATTTAGCTCCATTATTAGCATGGTTATTCATGCATCTAACAATACATTTGTAGAGTATGAGGAAGGAAAATTCACAAGTCAGTTCAAGATGTCAGGTGAGTGGCTAGTACAAAGTGGTCTGTGTTAAACAGGAGATAGTAAGACTGCAATGAAAGGTTCATGATGAAATAACGAATATGTGAAATGAAACAAGTAGAGGCATATATTGAGAAAAGAGATTATATCACTAATAATAAATCCGGATAGTATAAATGAAAAATTCGATAATATTGCAGGAATCTTTGCATGAAGGGTTCGAGAACATTTACCAGCTTGTTTCAGCAGAGGGGAAATTAAGTGCATAAAAAGCTCGATTCTGTCACACTTGGTCGATACTGGACATCGTATCGATGTCAACACAGCTCATGATTAAATCCTCCATGCAATAATCTCTTTTCTCAATATATGCCTCTACTTGTTTCATTTCACATATTCGTTATTTCATCATGAATTTTTCATTGCAGTCTTACTATCTCCTGTTTAACACAGACCACTTTGTACTAGCCACTCACCTGACATCTTTTATAACCTTGAACTGACTTGTGAATTTTCTTACCCCACACTCTACAAATCTATTATGATTAAGCACCACCATTGTCTTCCATTTAACAATAGCTTTGAATATTTATTTGAATTAATTTATGAGAACCACATTTTAACGTGATAGATATTTTATCCCTATGAGAAAGATGGACAACAGTTACTGCTGTAAATTCCGGTAAACCAGTCCATAGGCTTATTAGATTACTAAATTATGCATGTAGCAACTACAGTTATGTGGGAAGTCAATAGTAAGTTCTCTAACTTTGCTGCAGATTTCCGTAGGAGGTGTCATTTCCCTCCACATTGAAGATATCTCCTGCTGACGACTGGCAATAACCATGATACTACAGTCCAAGGCTTGCAACCGACTGAAATCAACCTCCTAACATATGTTTGCTTTATTAAGTAACGAAAGTTTCTTTAGGCACACATTTGGTTAACCCCAATATATTGTTACAAACCTGACCACGGATTGATGTCAGTTAGAGAACCATTGGAAGTCAGGGAGTACTGAGCAGCCATTTCGTCCCACCTACTGAGCTTCGAATACAGGACATTCAGGTTACATGTCAAGGTCATAGACCATTCAGCCAACGGGGCCCGAACCAATGAATTCCATTAGCTGCTAATTCCTGATTTTAGCGTGGCCACCACGTAGTGTCATTAGTGAGGTAGTTATCTTCACATCTGACGTGGCTGGCACCACTGGTCAGAATTCCTCACTAGAACTCCAGTCAATGCCTCCATGTAGCCAGTCACCGAAGGGCACCAGATTAATTCTCATGAGCTACTCCGTAGGAATTCGATCTGTTTCTCAAGTGTGATAACTGAAACCGAACCCTGCTGAGTATGTAACACTGAGGAGTCCTTAACTATGGAGGAACTTGAAATTTATTCCAATCACCACAAAACTAACTCTTGGAAATTCATGTAGTGTATTTTTATGATTAAAAATAATATTGAATTTTAGTTTTAAAAATAGCTTTACAAATAAATGTTAGATGAGTGAAGTTAAACATTCGGCACCAAGGGAGTGCGAACGCACCAATGACTCTGGAGAAGAACTATAGCGTTGAAAGGCGATTTTTCGGTCTTTTAACACTGACCCTAACCTACTACTCTAACCAACCATAATATCTCCCTAAAAAGGTTAACTTAACCTTAACATATCCCTAGCCTAAGCCTTAACTTAATCTTTCCCAAACCTAAGCTAAATCGTATCAGATATCCCTCAATTGAGCATATCTTATTTATGATCATAGTGTTATCTATCTGTCTGTCTGTTTTCGACATAGAACTTTGCACATATGTGCACCAGTTCAAGTCGCCACACTCCATGTAGCACACAAAGCAAGAGAAGAAGGTAGAACAAATGCATAATAGAGACAGTAAACAGAGATGTGAGACAAAGGAATAGTAATGACGAAGAACAATATAGTTCCATTTGAAATCATAAGTCACAGGTAGTGGGTGCATCTGCACCAGCCATTGAGAAGGATTTTGAGCCATATCAGCAATTGTTTCCAACCATTGGTTTTTACCATCCCGAGGACCCCAACAAGGAAGTTTACATCTTCCTACGTGACTGGCTGGCTTAAACCAACTGTTATGGATTTGATTGACTGATGAAGCCATGTTTCGATTTGACTGTCGCTAGCTCTTTCCCAGCTTGACCCTAAGTCAGCTAACATTGCCAGTCGAGGAAGGCGATGACTCGGCATACGTAACTCATGTCCTAACCATCTCAGTCGATGACATTTCACAGCGTTGTCGATCGATTTCCCCTCTTTACCTAGCGCTCAACGTCTAACCTCAATATTGCTCACCTTATCACCTCACCTTTACCACCTAACACACACCAGAGATAGATCACAGGCATCTATGATCAAAGACAGCTAGACAGGCTTTTCATGTCTTCCACTCTCAATGCCAGGTCTCACAGCCAAAACGGAGGATGGAGCAGACTGCTGGGCAGTACACCCACCCTATGGTCGATAGTCAGCTGGATATCACATCTAAGCAAGAAACGGCGTAAACAGGCATATGCGAAACTAGCCCTCTGTATCCATACTGTCTATCTGGTTTTCCTAAATTACTGACTGAGTGTTTCAATGTCATTTGTGCCTAATGTTTAATAATACCTTCAAATTTATCTCACAAGTTTAATTTATTTATATAATAACGGTAATAATAATAATATTATTAATAATAATTTGCTTTATTCTAAAACAGTACTTATGATACAGTGTGGAATTAATTCTCAGTATTTGTTACAATATTACAGCTAATTGTCTTAACAAAAAAGACACATTACAGTATATTCAGACAACAAGTCAAAAAGTCACAAAAAAGCGTACAATGTTGGGTATAATAATGTTAATAACTATAATTGTAAGATAATTGAAGTAGAGTCACCGTAATTACAACTAGAAGGCGGGGGGGGGGAGGTAAAATAGCCATTTATTTGGTTAATTGTATCGTAATTTTTCTAAGTTTCACGCTTAACACTATCTCTATTAAATAGAATGTGAGTCAAATAGGGTGCTGTTGAGTTTTTATACTTGATTGTGTGAGCGGATAATCTTTTGAAATGACTTCTAGCCCTACCTGGTGAGATGCAGGGGAGGAGTTGTGAATAGAGATGGTGTTGAGAGTCAGACAAAATGGATTTATACCATTTCTCATGTGAATAGTAAATAAGTAAATAATAAACTTGGGAATAATGGATAGCTGTTTCTTCGGCCTAGTTTGGGACTCTTCAACAGTATGCACCCACCACAGGGGTTCGAACCCAGGACCTTCTGATTACAAGGCTAGAGAGCTTATAGACCATTAAGCCAATGGGACACGATCCAGTGGCTCATGAATTCTACCTTCTGGCAATTCACGACACAGCGCAAACTCTAGCCAATGTCTTCGGCGAGTATTTGTCCTCACACCCGACCTGCTGCGCCCTACTGGTCATGACTTTTCACTAGAACCCCAGGTAACTACCTACCTGAATAGGACAAGTCGCTAGTGGGCATCTTATCGAACACAACACTTAAATAATGATGAGATGCTCACTAGCGACTTGCCCTATTCAGGTAGGTAGTTACCTGGGGTTCTAGTGAAAAGTCGTGACCAGTAGGGTGCAGCAGGTCGGGTGTGAGGACAAATACTCGCCGAAGACATTGGTTAGCGGTCGCGTTATGTCGTCAATTGGCAGAAGTTAGAATTCATTGACTGGCCATTGGATCGGTTCCCATTGGCTTGGTGGTCTACGAGCTCGCCAGCCTTGTAACCAGAAGGTCCCGGGTTCGAACCCCGGTGGTGGGTTCATACTGTGAACAGTCCCGAACTAGGACGAAACCGCTGTTCAGTACCACCAGGTTTTACAATGGTTCTCTAACTAATGTCAGCTCATGATAAAATCCTGTAACCAATCAAATCCCTACAAACTAACACTTAAATAATGAACTGTTAGTCATTTTGGTTACTCATAAAACCCTATATTAGCTAATACACAGCCAATTATGAGTTCAAATGAAACTCAAAATGGTCGAAACAAATGACAGACAACTATAAGAGATAATCTTGACCTATTAAAAAAGACAAAAAAATTAATTATGATTTCAGACAAGTCACGAAAATCGATGTAGACTAAAGGGAAGAAATATAACTCATAAGAATTAATTCGTACAGTTAACGAAAACTATACGGAAATATCATGTTTCGCTATTTGGTTTTTTTTCTTATTCAAGCTTCTGTTTGTTATTATGAAGCTGTTTGTAGCAATAACCTGTGCCAAATTAACAAGTCACATCAATTAAATCAACAGGTTCACTAATCAGTAGATCAGTTAAACTACTCGGAGCCTGTGTATCAAATACCTTATACTTTCAGGTATTGGTTTTTATGGATTGAGTTGATTTGTTACAGGATTTCATCATGAGCTGGTATCGGTTAGAGAACCATAGGAAAACTGTGGGGATACTGGACAGCTGTTTCATCCTAGTCTGGGAATCATCATCAGCACGACTTGGTAGAAGTTAGAATTCATCAGCCATTAGGTTGGGTCCATTGGCTTAGTGGTCTACGAGCTGGCCTTGTAACCAGAAGGTTCTAGCCTTGGTGGTGCGTGGGTACTTTTGAAGAACTCCAAACTAGGTCGACGAAAAAGCTGTCCAGTACTGCCTGCTTGTTTTCCAATGGTTCTCTAACTGCTGTCAGCTTATGATGAAATTCTGAGTCCTTATACATTTATTTTTCATTAAATGCAGATTAACAAACTGCAAGCTATTAGATGGTTGGAGGTAATCGGCCACAGGAAGTCTTCCTCGACCTAGGTTTCGTGCTACTTGGCGCTCACCAGTCAGCAAGGTGTGTCTGCAACCTTGAAGGAACTCATGTCCCTTCTGAGATTCTGACTTGTATCATCGATTTAAAGCTGCAGTCAGAGACATTACCACTGAGCTGTTTGGGCTCACTACTGACCTCCTGTAGGAATGTAGTGGATAATTTGACTGGACACTAGAATGGTGGACACATTGCAAACCTGACCGATAGAATTCAGTCTGTACCAAACAAAGGACTAGACACATCATACTAGTTACTAGTGTCCGATCAAAGGGCAGCGCATTGAAAAAGTTTGCTTTTGTAATAACATTAATAACGGTAATAGCTTCATTTTGCACAATGTTTATATAATGTACAGAATTTTCAGAGGAGTTTACTACATGATAATTTCTCTTCGTTCAGTAATTTCAAACAAAATATGAACTGACGGTAGATTGTGTGACACAGTTCTGTCTGACCTGAAGTGCAAACCAATTTACTATGATGTCTCTTCTTCGTCTCGCTTCTTAAACAAATGCATGCTATTTTGTTGAATGTCAATTAAAAAATTTAAGGGGTACACTTTGTAAACCAAGGACACCACTCAGGAACGGTCATCTCATGTATTGGGAAAAGCTGCCATCGAGGATTATGCTTTTTCTCATGTTTAGTAGTAACTTGTGAAGCAGCAGGCAGTAAATGTTTGAAATATCCACCAGAGTAAATAATACTATTAGTGGTCATATTTTACTGGATTTAAACAAACTGAATAAGGAAAACTATATGCAGTATATTGATAGAGGTTTTCGATAGCTCAAAGTTTTCAGCAGGCTGCCAAAGAAAACTGACCTTTGCAACAGTACTAGGCTTTCCGTAGGCAGCTCAGTGATATAGTGGTCTTCATCGTTTGAAACCTTTTTTGTGCTTGCTTAGTCACCTGCTAGAATTGATGACATCATAGTTTGAATTACTACAACAGTAGAGCAGTTTCTCCACTGATATTCTTAAATATGAATATTTTATGATGACCATTTCAGGTGTGACAAAAATGCAACATCGCTTAGGTAACCCTTGATAACCAGGGAGTACTGGACATCTGTTTCGCCCTATTACTTGAGACTCTTCGTCAAGAGACACCTACCGAGTTTCGAAACTAGGACCTTCCGATAACAAGTCAATCTCGTTGTATCGCTCACCCACTGGGATCCGATTCAAAGGCCCGTAAATTCTCACTTCTACCATGGAACTCACTTGATGACGTCAGAAGTTTTACTTCCTTTTTAAACAGCTTATTCGTCAGCTGATATTCACGATTTTTGTTTTATACACCTTACTGTGAGCAGTTGTACGTATATACACCAACTACATATAAATAAATTACGCAACTTAACTTTTGGTATGATTAATTTTTAATTTATTCAGATTGGTGGTGCTGTAGCCACAGGTGATGGTGATCTCATGATGCGTTTTCTTTTAAGTTTCCAAGTTGTTGATTATCTACGACAGGGGATTGGTCCAACTGAAGCTTGTAAAAGAGCGTTAAGAAGTGTCAGATCAGTAAGTATAGTATTATTTGCATCTTCTTACATTTACATAACTTTACTTATTCTTTCTACTGTTAGAGGGTGTGAAAATAGCAACTGTCATACGAGTGCTGCAAATCTTCATCAAAATCATTCAACAGATTTATGAAAGTCATACATGTCAAGTGATCTACAGCGGAAAACACAATGAAGCCTTTGAAGTGAATACAGGAGTATGATAAAACCGCCTATTATCACCAATGATATTCCAAATTGTGTTGGACCGGATTATGCGACAGATTGTGTGCGGGAAATGAGAAGACAGAAATACGTTGATCCGATAAGTAGACTCTAGAAGATTTCGACCTCATGGATGAGTTATTTTTAATATCATATAAATTCGAAGATCTAGAGGCGAAAACCAACAGATTGACAGAAGTAGCAGCAAAGATAGTTCTTCATGTGAATATATAGGGGACAGAGGCGTTGAACACCAATCAGTATCAACGAAATAAATTTGCCCGAGGTTAGTGAGGACATCTGCTGCATTCAGTACAAAGAACAAAGTCAGGATTGAATTTTTGATTTTCCCGTCGATTGGTTGGACCGAAGTGCTCTCGCGGCCCAAGTGGTCTAGTGGATAACGCTTTGGCGTTTGAAACTATGGTTACTGGGTTCGAGCCTCGGTGGGAACGTCATCACTCACTAAGAAATGCAGGTACATCCAGCTGACGAGTCCCAAATAGGACGAAATGCGCATCTTGGATTCCACTGTTAGTCTCCATCCACCAATTAAATACTAACAAAGTCAGGATTTTAAACACCAATGTTAAGACGCTCAGTGATTATATATGGGTTAGAAATTCGCTGAACGCATCACCAAAAGTACTACCAACTGGTAGCTGCAGCCGTTCAACAACAGCTGCCTTCGCTAGCTCCATACTGAAGGTGAAACAGCTAGAAAGAATTGGCAACAAGAAACGCTGGGGGCAAACGAAACAAGGACCTATCGCTCAATAAATACTCCGAAGGAAATGAAGATAGATCGGACCCACACTGAGGAGACCGTTGGTTGAAATCATCCGCCGGATCCTCGAGGTGAACCCGTAAGGACTACGACGAGCATATGTCCGAGGATGACATACAGGAGATTGTGCGAGGAGACAACTAGAGCTTATGGAAGATAGCATAGCCAACTAAAGAGGATTTCAGAGAACAGGATGAAATGGAGATATCCTTTTGAATCCATAGGTTCCACTCGAAACCCAAGGGACTAATACAAATATTAAACTGTCATGTGAGAGACTGATGAGTCATGGTTGGTCGATAGTACTGCTTAGTATTGTTAACCAGTTACATCAGGAAACTACAAAAAATTAAGCCAAGTTTTCCCTATCATCGAAATCCTCAAGCATGTATTTTTGAAGACAAATACTGGTCATACTTTTTACTTCTTGACGAGTGTCTCTTATTACTTCAGTAATCACTTGTATGGTTTACGCTGATAACAGAAACATGAATCACACAGTGTATCAGTTGAATTGCAGATACAAATTAATAAATCTCATCCAAGAAGTTTCAATTTCCGTGAAATCAGGTGTTATTGACTAGCCGGAGATCAAAGTGTAACTAAACTTGTAAGTGGCTGTAATTTAATTTAAGAGTCTGTGGTATGTAGACAGGTAAAAAATGGATTATCTTTTATTGGTGATATGGTGATCAAGGTCACTCTAGAAATAAACCAATCAAATCGGCCTACATAAAGCAACGCCCACTATTTTATCGATCATGATTATAGACTAACTGACAGCGAATTGACAACATCGCAATTAAATCAACCAGATCATAGAACCGAACTAAATCAAAATAACTCATATGACCTTTATGATTTTGTGAATCATAGATTATTGTGGAAAATATACTGTGGCCGATACTGAAATATACTTTTCGGTTCACGTCGTTGTGTGTTCTCGCTTAGGTAGTGCATGCCAAGGAACAGATTACCGACGTATAATGTTGTTGGCGTATTCAAGAGGTATTCGTAATAAGCGAAGTGACGGCATCATAATAGTCTGTTGAGGTCACAAGACCTTTGCTTTCAGATTTCATTTTGTTCAATGAAACGTAAGAAGAAATAAATAAACAAGGTCACAAGAGAACCCTAACCTTTTCATCTTAGTAGGAAGATTTATTATGATGGATAATAACAACTTGAAGTACACTTTTCACACTGGAGTTCATTAAGTCCTACTTTAAAGCTGTGAGATTTAGTTGATAAAAATAAGTGAGTAAAGGTCAACAGATTTTCGACTGTAAGCGCCTCAGTTAATTTTCTCATGCTTTGTGGAACAATATGTTCATTAATATTGAATTCAAGCATACAGTGTTAGGTAGGAAGTGATACTCAATGAATGAGAGCCAAGTCACAGAACAGCGATGAATGAATGCGAACGCATCAATAACCTTGAGTGCATACTATTAGCTGAATAACGTGACCTACAATTATTATAGCACCACTATAAACACTGTAAACGAAATGAGGTGTAAATTTCATCTTGATCTTGTATTTGGATAGTGGGTTGATAGCTCGTTAGGGTTAGGATCACGGCTAGAATCAGGTTTAAGATTAAGGTTATCTGTATTTTTCTGTAAATAAACGTCACTTTTCTGTAAAAACCATTGGTTATTCTGATTGTTCGCCTCAAGGTCAGTCGGGAGTTCACTTTACCTGAATGAGATTTTGAAATTCTCTTGATTGAGATGGCTAGATTTCTTGCATATATCAAACCACCACTGGAAAAGATTTAGGGGTGGTCAGGTGGAAACAAGGCATCAATCCATGACTATTTATTTAGGGTGTATTGTTTCTACTTGGCTGAAGTATTTGAGTTGCTAAAAAGCAACGATTAGTAACATAGTGCGAAGGGGTAAATACATTTATTCCCTATCTAGGTTGTGGAAATTTACATCTAATCACTCTCTTTCACGTACAATTTATTCCGTCGTAGTTCTGCAACATTCCTTAGTCCTCTACCTTTGTCTAAGGTGTTTTAAAGTGCGACGAGTTGAACTGGTACGTTTCCATACAATGTATCACCTTGATAAGTCAATCAGTTACATCTCTAAAGAAGATATTGAACAGTTCACTTCGAAATCACAAAAATGATTGACCCTATTACTTTCAGGGTGGTGTGTATTTGTGTGTGTAGGTCACTGACTTGAATACTAGTGAGTTATTGTCTCAGATCTCGATACACTTACTCTCCGACCTCAGTAATTCTGCAACATCCAGATCTCTGTCACAACAAATTTAAGTTACTACCTACTGCACAAACATGTATACCAAACCTTTCAGTTATATGACAATTACATTCTGAAATGTTATCATTTAGGCATATTATAAAGTCATTTGATATAATGACTGATTGACTTTAGAAACTGCTATTAGATCGCTATGTTAGCAAACTGGCATTCCCTTAAATGTTCAATAGTTGAACTGTTATATTTCTAGTTAATATAACTTAAAGACTCTAAAAAAATATATTTCTTCAATGACGTACAAACAACTAACTAAAAATATACACAAAACTGAATTGCAATTATTTTTCTGTTGTTGAAAATGCTGATCAGAATGAAAATTGGTATGGAGCTGTTGTGGCATTGACTAGCAATGGTGAACATGGATCTGCATGTGTTGGTTTTGATGATTTCAAATACAGCGTTCGTGGATCATGGCTCGGGAACCAAACTCAAATAATTAGTGTGCCGTGTAGCAAAGCAGACGAAATTTGAACAGCTTTATTAATTTATTATAATAATAATAAACTGCTATTCAAGTTACCTAGTGATTTGCTGCGATATATACATGTATGTGCCATTTTTATTTAATGTTATGTATTTTAACTTGAAGAAATTTCTACAGTGTAATGGGACAGAAAAGAAAACAGGTGTTAATTTACAAAATAATCCTGTAGCATTCATGTGTAAAAATCGCTATTAAGCTTAAATTTTTATTGACAATAGTCTTTTCTTGTAGTAAGAACGCAATATTCAGCGAAGAGACTCTTGTCAACAAAGAATATATTATCATGCTGTATAATCGCTATATATGGTTTCTAAAAAAAATTATATCCGGTGAGGGAATTCGATAAAAGGTGTGAATACATGAAATAATAATAGTAGTAGTATGAAATGCAATTAAAATATTTGTGTTTATAATCACAGTTAAATATCAAGTGGCAAAACAATTAATGGCATATATAGAATAAAATGTAAGACGAGTGTATAGATGCTGGAAAGGGGTGCATAATTATAAGATTAGTAGGCGAATATAAAATGTAACATAACATGGTGTGGAATTTGATAAGATAAAATTCAATACTGTAAAAAAATAATAATTTTGCATTTAGAATGACAAGTGGGACAGGTGGAAACAATTCAGAGTGAGAGCAGTAATAATAATAATCGTAGTAATAAGGGAAAGGTACATAGAATAGCTAAATAAATCAAATAAATAAATGTCTACCCTTCTACGGCCAAGGCAGAAGTAGGGATTGTACATACTTCTTTTGTATACAAAGGTCTGGCTTAAATTCATGAACTGTCAAGGCCTCAGCTGTCTTTAGAAGTCTGTAACGAAGAAAACGTGGTAAGTTAGCATGGATTCGGTAGATGATCTTAAAATCATGGTCAGGGTTGGCCGAGTGACAGGAGTCGATCAGGTGTTCTAGAATAGAGCTTCGCACACACTTCCTTTCTCCCTTGTTAAGCCATGCCGCTTGGATATATTCTCGTATCCGCATGGAAAGCTTCCTCTGGTTACAGTCAATATACCATGCTTCAGAAGAGCAGGTGAACTGATAGATGCACATGGAGGCGGCCAGACGGCGATCTTATCCTTTACAGAGATGGAGAGCAACTTGCGGCTGGTGAACGTCATTTGTTATTTTGCTGCAAAGAACGTCTTTAGAGAGACGGTTTTTGAGCATATCCGAATCTTAATCACCTTTGAATTCCAAGTTCATGAATAAGGTTTTCTTTGAAACTGAGTCGGTGACCAGTGTTATTACTATTCCTCTGGATACTTAGTGGAACATGGGGATTCAACAGTAAAACACCTCCACTTTTTCCTGTTCCCTGCAGCCCTCTCTATCTGGCTCCATGGTTACCCATAAGCTTGCATCTCCTCCAAATCGCACACTGCAACCTCGGACACTCGTCCATCTTTTCGTTTCCCGTCAGGGTCCTACTCGAGCAATGGTTTGGTGTGGAATGTCGCCAAATTGGCTCTTCAATGTATGTCCGATCCAACTCCATTTTCTTCAGAATATTTGTTGAACAGTAGGTTCTTGTTTGGTTTGTTCCCAGAGTTCCTTACTTCCAATTCTTTCTGGCCACCTAATCTGCAGTATAGAGTTAAGGAAGGCAACTCTTGATGGAAGTTTGCAGCCACCAGATGGAAATGCTTGTCGTAACGCGTTGGCCAAGTTCCTCAACCATTGAGGAGAACAGATCGATTTGACATTCCTGATGAGAATCCGAATCGAATGTCTTAACTGAGTAGAGAAGATTACCACACTGATTTCAGACTAATGAACGTCTGCCTTATTTTCTCGATTCTGGCCCACATCCGTAGTTGAATTGATGCCTCTTGGCTAAGTGAAAGAAGTTACTTCACTCAACTTGTTTCCGTTGACAGTGATTGGCGTTTTTTGTGTGCTTGGTTATCTTCGTCACGTTCGTCTTCCTTATGTTCAACTGAAGTCCTATCTTAGCTGTTTGCTTCTTCTGCCAGTTTGTTGGTTATTTGCCTATAGACCTTCGAGTTTGTGTGACATTAGACATAAACGGTCTGTGAAATTCAGATCCTCTAACAATACAAAATGTGATATGCAATGTCAGTAGCACAGAAATAAACTGTTTGTATATGTATGTATGTGCGCGTATGTTACAAATCAGGAGTATTCTAGATTTCTAAAGAATATGATTATTATTAACTGATGCAGTGCACAGTCAGTTAAGAAAAGGTGTCTTGACGTGATCTGAGTTTTCTGCTAATGAATTTTGCGCTGGGTCCTTCATCTGGTTGATCCAAGATTTTCAAACTGTACTGAATCATCCAGTGTCTTTGTATCCAATTGAAGAATACGGAATTCTGGGCCATATGACAGATAATATCTCCATCTGAATAGAAGCAGATGCGATAAGGCCAATCTTAAATTACCAACCAACCTAACTGAGTGGAAAATTCCCAAGACATTCAATTCAGAAAGCAAGTCCAGTCCCTACTACTACCCTGGCCTTCAGTAGAAACTATAAATTCATGAATTTGTAGTATTGTCTTTCCTAATTCTTCTGACATTCAGCTTATTTTATGTTGATGCGATTCAGCTGTAATCTATCAATATTATTGATTCGATGTTATTTAAACATCAACATTAATGCTGTTCATAACACTAATTCATCCATTCGTTCAGTGTAATGTATATATAACTGTAGAGCCTGATGTTGAAGTTATCGAAAAGAGTACTCTTTGTTCAGTATCCATTCTTTTGATAATTATATTTTTAATAGTCATATTAGAGAAACAAATGCACTGGTGTCTCGGGATGGAGGCAAAACTTTACGAATTTATTTCCACTCATGAATTCGATAAGAGTAGGGATCAATCAAGTGTGTGGGGATACACTGAATCCCTTGTAGTTTGCTGCTTTTTCAGCTGCACACGCCTATAATCTTAAAAGTGTTCACTGTGTATCTTTTCTGGGTCTTTATGATAGAAAACGTTGAAACGACCATAGCAATGAATAAAAATTTTATTTTCGATGAAGTCATCAACTAGATAGATGTACATCCGTGTATTTATAGTAAGTGGATGAGAAAGATCCACAAGTGTTTCCCGTCGAGGGGCAAATCATCAAGTTTAAAAATACGGATTAAAACGCAGTAATAAAAAAAATAGAGAGGGTGTGTGGAGAGAAGACGTAGGAATGCAAACGGGGATTAAAAAACACAAAAATGACAGAAGTTAACACGAGTTTTGGATGGGAAAGGTGTAATAGGGAAATCATTATCGTGAGAAATGACTCTTTATGATGGTAATGATAGAGAAAAAAGGTGGACGTATACCTTGTGAACATATAGTGTGAGCTTAAAATTTTGGACCGCTAGTGCCTAGATGTCTTGATCTCACTCCGTCTGAGAGATTTGATAGGATCTTTTCTATGACTTTGAACGACTTTTCGAATGGGCGATATCGGATGTCCTGAGATGCTCTGTTACCGAGCTATACACACACCTACATTCTCCGTTTGGTAGCCAGTCTGGACATTGCTCCCGAGCACGGACGCATGCTACTGCCAACATGAGCGAGTGAAATGGTATGTGAATTTTGAAGTAGCCCATTGAGAGAGCTTGTCTTTTACTTGCAGATTGAATAGCTTCTACCAGGAAAATATCACTCGTAGGGCGGTGGCGAAATGTGGTTTGCTGGGAGATTTCAAAAGCCGTTTATGGAGGATTTTTGCTTAAGTATCACTTTTCTATTCGAGATTAAGCAGCAGCATCTTTCTGGATGGCTCGGGTAGGGGAACCTGGAACCGTTCAGAAGCTTTCTTTGTTTTTAGGTTTTTGTCTATGCATCCGGATGGGGAGCAATTTTCTATCATAATTGCCCTAAGATTTTTTAGTTCTTCGTCAGTAGATTCCTCGGTACATATTTTCTGAATTCCAGAGGAGGGAGAATAAATAAATTTTCTCTTCCTGACAAGACAGACAACTTTGAAAATCGATAAAGTGTCCATCCCATTTTGGCTTTTGTATGTGGATCTCCTAGAGGAGTTATCAGCACTTCATAACAGCGGTACACCAAGGAAATGGAACATTACATTAGATTCAACTTCTAGAGTGAAGTCAATGTTTGGGTGGCCATTACTGAACGTTTGGAGTAGATTTCCGACGTCTAAATTCTCATCACAAATAATGAAAGTTTCATCAGTGTGTCTCTTGTCGAGATGGAGCCCGCTAATAGTTGTTGATGAAAAGTTATTTACCAGGCTAACCACAAAACTGTCGGTGAAATGGGAGTCAGGTGAATGAACGTGCTGTCTCTGTCTGTCTGTTTCGACATAGAACTTTGCACAAATGTGCGGAAGTTCAAGTCACCACACTCCATGTAGCACGCGAAGCAAGAGAAGAAAGTAAAAGAAAAGCATAATAGAAACAGTGAGCAGAGGTGTGAGACAAAGGAGTAATGAAGAAAAACAAAACAGTTTCATTGGAGATCATAAGTCACAGGGAGTGGATGCATCTGCGCCACTGAGAACGATTTTGAGCCATGTCACCAATTGTTTCCAACCATAGATTTTTACCGTCCCGAGGACCCCAGCCTGGAAGTCTGCACCTTCCTACGTGGCTTAGACCAACTGTTGTGGATTTCATTGACTGGTGCCAAGTTTTTGTTTGACCGCCGCTAGCTTTTTTCCAGCCTGACCCTATATCCGCTAACATTGCTCGTCGAGGGAGGCGATGGCTTGGCATACGTAACACATGTCCTAACCATCTCAGTCTTTGTAACTTCACGACTTCGTCGATTGATTTCCCCTGTTTACCTAGAACTCTACGCCTAACCTCAATGTTGCTCACCTTATTATGCCACTTTACACGGGAAATAGAGCGCAGGCACCTATGATCAAAGACAGCTAGTCTTTTCATGTCTTCCACTCTCAGTGGCCAGGTCTCACTCACAGCCATAAAGGAGGACGGAGCCAACTGATGAGCAGTACACCCGCCCTTTGGTCGATAGTCGAACATCTCGTCTACGCCAGAGTCGTTGTAAATTGGTAAATGCGAAACGAGCCCCCTGTATTCGTGCTGAGATTTCGTCAGAGATCAGCCCGTTGGGGCTGATGGTACTTCCCAAATAAGTGAAGCGGTCAACGTGCAAATAATGTCGAATTATATTATTATTTACTTTAATTCCTAGAGGAACAGCAGCGCGTCTCCATTGCTTTCGGTTTTCTGCCAATGTTTTCACCCCGCTCCAAGTCTGCCCACACACTTTCATCTCCTCTTCACATGAACTCCTCCAAATCACCCTTGCACTGACGATCAACTCGCCGTTTCCCTTTCGGGTTCCACTCGAGTGACGACCAGTCGCGTGATGTCACTTGATGGTTTCCTCAGCATACGGCCAA